AGTGTATAAATCATGGACTAACAATTAGTATGAAAAACTTCAGTCAGCATTTGACTCAATGATAGGTTGTATGTCCTGACAAGGTCATTGTATCAACGAAACACTTGCGGAAAAGATGACTTCAAACGAGATTGTTAATATCCTTGTTAGTCAATAGCTTGCCTCGTTTTAGAAATTGTTCATACGTAGAGCTTGCTCTTGCGTATCGAATCAACTGAGAGACATAAACCCCATATGCAAGTGATAAGGGTATATTGCTACATAAGTAAGGGAAGTTGACGATTGAAAAGTTAAAGTCATCACGTTTATCATAAAGCTTTGTTATTAGGTTACCATTAACGTCTTTTTCTAGTAAAATATCCAAATATGAAACAGATGTGTCAATTTCTGTGGTATCTTTTATTTCAAGCTCACTGGGGTATATCGAGTCGACATATGAATGAAAGTAACTATATTAAATTGATAATAAGTCGTCGATATATCGAAATGTCGAGTGGAAGGGCACAACAAGTGTTTTCTTCTTCTCATGTAGAAGTTTTTGAATAAATTCTGCTTCTTATGAATACAAAAATAGGTCTGCTAATAAGGGGGCGCAATTGGTACCCATGGAAATTCCAACAGATTGTTGGAAGACCTGATCTCCAAAAACTACATAGATATTGTCAATCAGAAACTCAAGCATCTTTTTAATATCAACTTCAGAGTACTTATGTGTACAATTAGAGTGCTTTTTAACAAAATAATTTTGTAAATGACCAATGACAAGGTAAGTATATTTACGAGTTCCATTTTTATTGAAAAAGCAGCTGTCTATGATGTCAAAAAGCCTGGACTTCAATTTATCGTGCAGAATGGTTGTATAAAGTGTTGAAAAGTCGTACGTTTTGATGCTATTGAATTTAGTAAAATTTTGTGATTTCAAATTTTCCAAAAGTTCTTTGCAGTTTTTAAGTATCCATATCTGATTTACACCACTTCTCGAATACACTGTTGAACAGTACTCCTAAAGTTTCTCCTTCATTACAGTAAATATTTTAATGAGGAGTAAAGAAAGAGGCTTGGTAGAACAGTTAGTGGAACCCGCTATGTATCTTTGTTTGTAAGGATTTTTATGAAGTTTAGGAATCCAGTAAAGGTATGGTAATTCAATTCATTTTGATTGTTGGGAATATTAAAATTATCTAAAACAGACATATGATTTTGAAGAATTTCCTCTTTAGAAAGGGAGGTATGTGTGTAAGTTGGATTTCACCCGTAGAATTAAATCCTAGTTCCTCTAAAATGCAATTCAAATAATGAGCTTTACAAACAAAGACTATGTTGTTACCTGCTCTGTCAGGTTGGACCAGTACATTTTGATTTTGTTTGTTTGTTTATTGTTTAACGTCCCTTTCGAGAATTTTTCACTCATATGGAGACGCCACCACTTGCCGGTGGAGAGCTACAAGTTTTGACCTATACTCGGCACTCAGTGCCATTGAGAAGTGAGGGATCTTTTTCGTGCCAGCACCTACTGCGACACGGGACCTCGATTTATACGGTCTCATCCGAAGGACCGGTCTCCACGTCCCACCGTGGGATTTGAACCTGGACGTAAGGATCAACTCCATACTCTGCGACTCTAAAGAGAACGCTCTAACCACTGCGCCACGCGGGCGAAGGGACCAGTACATACTGATCGTGTATTCTATCTAATTCTTTTTTCACCTCTGAATTATTAAAGACAGAAGGATAAATAGTTTTCATACAGCCCCTCAATCGCTTAATACGAGATTTCACCATCCATTTGAAGCTCTTAATCCATTCTGACAAAGTATCAAGGTCTTCTTTTTCGTGTTTGGCCCATCGCCTGGCGAAATCTTCCACAGAATTCATAATATTTATAAAATTATGTCGCCAGTTGAAAGAACGGGGTTTCCTAAATTTTGGCCCTTTTAAAATCAGGGATTTAAGGTCCTCATTATTAACTATGTTTACATCACCAGTAATGACTTGCCCGGCAGGACTATAGTTGTAGGGTGAAGAAGAACATGAACACTTGAGAGGATTATGTATCAGATGTTCGAAATCTAGGCACTGTAGAGTTTTTTTGTAATTAAAAAGTTTGGAAGCAATAGTCGTGGTATATTTATAAGAAATACAAGGTGTGGACTTCAGCTTGAAATATGGTGGAATACAAGACTGGACCCTATTGTGATTAAGAATATTACTAATATTAACTGCGTCGATTCCTTTGTTTGCAAATTGAAGCTTAAGGAACAAACGGGTTGTTTGAGCAGTGTTATCTTCCGTAAAACGTGGCGGTTTAAAAAGCCTATGATTTGCAATATCCATAATCACAGATCCAAACCTGTATTCTGGTGTCGAAGAATCCAAATATGGACTTTCTCCTTGACCTTTTCAAATAAACCATATAGAACTTTCAAAGGGACAGAGTTAAGTTTGGTGCGAATGTGATGAAGACCTAATTGTTTATTTACATAAGATAGTAGTGAAACAAAAGAAACATTGTGTATAATAGGTTTATTGTATGACCGATGTCTATGACTACGCTTACGTCTCTGAGCATTGTTAAAAAGTCCCTTCACATTCACATTGCTACACTGTGGACTTGAAAAATTCCCAATACTATCGACATTATCATTGCTTCCATATGGAAAGGCCTAGTTTCCTAATCCATTATTCTTCTCGTTGTCTACGGAAAGGTGTACTCAATGATGGACTATTAGTATGATGGTAAATCTTTTCTAGAATTCTAACTTTCATTGATAAAATAGTATGATCGGGTAAATTAAAGTGCTTGTAGAGAAGCTACTGGTTTTTCTGCGTATTTACTAGTTATCTATGTAAATTCCACCGTACATAATTGAATAGAATTTTATGCGATTTTTTTTTCATTAAAAGCAAGGATATACAATGTAGGGTGTAGTAAATTTTCTAGCAAGCAAAGATCTTTATTCCTTATAAAATATTTACTGCTAAAGGAAAAACTTCAGAAATTGTGCTCCCACGTTTAAAGGAAAAACTTCAGAGATTGTGCTCACGCATTTAAAGGAAAGACTTCAGAAATTGTGCTCTCACATTTTGTCAGTAGTCTGCCGAAATTTAAAAATTGACCGTGAATTGGAATATTACTAGATAAATAAGACTAGGTGCCTTCAGCTTCTCCATCGTCAGCTTCCATTATTTTTGTAGAAATATTCCAATAAGTTCTTTGTCAAATAACAAAGTGTTAAATCATCAAAAGGTTTCTTTTTTTCTTACAATTAATCACCATCACCGAAATATCTCATTTTAGAGTATTAGTATATTTTTCTCTTCCTGTGGATTTGCATAAGAAACACACTTTCATGATTTAAAGTTACATAATGAGTCAAAATCATGTGTTCCTTTTAAGATAATTGTATCATAAAACAAAAGATTTATGTGGAATATGAATCAAGCGAAGTTTTGACTACTCAACTTCACTGTAAAGCAAGAAAAAACTGCAGAATGTAAGGGCCGGAAAAGCAAAGGTTGTATCTATCGCTTAGTTGTTATCGTCAGTGTCAACAATGTCAATTAAGGTCACGCGACGTTTATTCTTAGCAATGAAACTTGTAAACAACATTGAATTGGAGCAAGAAAAAATGAGGAATAAGTTCTGAACATCTTTATTGAAGATTGTATCAAAATCCTCGGTCATCCGACATTTATATCTATGGAATTGACACCATGGTAAATTCTTCAACTTTTCTGCGCATGTACACAATAAAGAGGAAGAAGTGAAGCAATATTTTTGTGTTTGGGAAAACAAAAATTATTATTTTTCTCCATAAAAGTAGATTTTTTTAGGTTCTGAAACCTGTAATTTTCTGAACCTTATATCTTCAAGAATTGAACAAAATTTGCATGTGTCATGCAAAAATTCTACTTTTGTCAATTTTCCCCTTTTTCCGTCACGGTGTCTCTTTAAAGCATTTTCTAAGCTTGCAAAATAGGATAAGTATTACTCCCTTTTTCTTAGGACTGTATCATCTCTCCGTACTTTGACACGAATTAAACACTATCGTATAAGGAGTTGTTCTGCGTATTAACTTGTTATCTATGTAAATTACACAGTACATAATTGAATAGAATTTTATGCGAATTTTTTTTTTCGATCTAAAAATGCTCGAAAAGAAAGCAAAAATGGATTGCAGTGATATTAACGGTATCTCTCATCTTTCATTATAATCATACTTGATACAAATCATGATGTAACTTATTTTTCAGATAGTGGACAAACGTCATGCATTGTGCATGAAGATTTGATTTATTTTTGCAAAAGCTATGGGCGGTACCCTTTAATCTTAGAAGATCATTCCGAAGAGAACTTGACTAAGTGCTTTGCTAAATTGTACATTTCCTTTTCTTTCATATCTTCTCCCATCTTATTTTACTTTATTTTTAATTTAACAAACTTCTTTCAATATTTTTCTTTTTCACACCTGATGTGTCACATCTTGGCTCATTGGTTCCTCCTTCAGCGAGGATGCACTTCCATCTGTCAGTTCTAATCCCCCTGGCAGCAATCTGTCTTACGATTTTGGAAGAGGCACAGGGGTTCCTCTCACTCCTAGACAAAATTCAAATATATCCTGTACGATGGAAATCTTTCAATGCAGAGCCACTGTATACCAATTAGCCTCCCCATAAGAAGAGTAAATATAAGGCCATTCTTTCAGAGAAATGTGATACCTCCAGCTCTGTGATGTTTACAAGAATTATTCCAAAAGATCTCTTCATGTTTGCTGGTTGATTTTTTTTCTGTGATCTGTTCTATCATTGGTTGTTTCTATTCAGTGTGCTCTGTTCCATCATTGGTTGATTCTTTCCAGTGTGATCTGTTCTATCATTGGTTGATTTTCTCTCCAGTGTGATCTGTTCTATCATTGGTTGATTTTCTTTCCAGTGTGATCTGTTCTATCATTGGCATCCTGTTACTGGTTGGAACTGTGTATGACATGTGTATTTCTCAGCTAAAACATAATTTGGATAGAGATGTGAAGACAGAAAAGCAAAGCAGTAACATGCCTTCACAATCGGACAATTCTGAAACTATACATCTTTTGTCAAAGGACTCACAAGTGCCTAAACAAACAATCAAACATCAAGGGCAGAAAAAAAGTAAGTTAACGTCTTTGGAACAAAATGCTTTTGAATTTTTTCTATTTCTGTAAGTTTTTTTTTATAATGAGAAACAAACTCTCTCTCTCTCTCTCTCTCTCTCTCTCTCTCTCTCTCTCTCTCTCTCTCTCTCTCTCTCTCTCTCTCTCTCTCTATATATATATATATATATATATATATATATATATATATATAAAAGGTGAAGAGATAATGAACAGTGATCGATCTCAAAAATCCTTTAAAAATACAAATTATAATAAGGGCAAGAACACAAACCTCTGGAACATACCAGAGGTACCTAGGAGGGGTAATCATTTCTAGTCAACTGGTCTCGCTAGGGTGAGTTCCCTGTATTGATTAGGTAAACGGAGTTATCAGCAGTCAAAATTAGTATAAAACAATGGCACAGGAGTTCGTATGAAACATTTCAGTCAAAATATTTCTCAACGATAGTTTGTTCTAGCGAACGAGCTCATTATAACGAACAAAAAAAATTATATGCTGACTTTTAATAAGATATTTAAAAGCTCCATAACGTCAACTTATTTGTCGCTAGCCAGCCTCTGTGTAAAAAAAAAAATGATTGTACTCAGAACATGTTTTAGCGTATCGAATAAGATTGGAGATATAAACACCATATGCAGATGATATGGATATTACTACATAAATAGGGAAAGTTGAGATGAAGTTATTCTGTTTGTCATATAGTCGTAAGTTGGCCATAAGTAACAAAAGTCAGTAAAACATCACTATATAAAGGTGTGGTAGACTTTGGTGTGTTTTATTTCTGTAAGATATATCGGGTCGACATACGAATGAAAATAACTTTTTTTTTAATTGATAAGATCTCGTCCACATCTGGAGGCCAGATTTTTTTTTCTTTTCATGCAGAAGTTTTTGAATAAATTCTGATTCATAGGAATATTAAAACATCATTATTAAGGGGCTCAATAGTAATATTCTATGTATGTATCAATCGAGTCGCCCACGTGACATAGTGGTTAGAGTGTATTCTCTAGAGTCGCGGAGTAAAGAGTTGATGCTCACGTCGCGGGTTCGAATCCCATTGCTGGAAGTGGAGACCGGTCATTTGGATGAAACCGTATAAAGGATAAGGATATTTGAGATCGATCACTGCTCAATGGCCATGAGTACCGAGTATAGCCCTCCACAGGCAAGTAGTGGCATCTCAATATGCGTGAAAATTTCTCGAAAGGGACATTACACAAACAAACAAACAAACTTATCGAACGAAAGTTTTTATAAATACACAGCCCTCATGCCAAAATGAATTTTAATATACAAACGTGTAATCTTTATATAAAAGGAGATATTAGGTAGAAGATATGACCTTTTTCATGACCTTTTTCACCGCTATGAGAAACAGTCTGAGAAAAAAAGCTGAAAGCAGAACACTTAATCTTGACTTTATTTCATTTCTTTTCCAGGGAAACTTCAGCAGTTTTTATTGGCTTTTTCACTAAGCACTAATGGCAGTAGAGTTCTCAGCACAGACCCTCTGCCTTCGTCAACAATTCAGGCTGTCAGTGGAGTGAAGGTCCTTAGTCTGAGCTGGATTTTACTATTCCACACCCATTTCCTTACAAAGGGCAGCTCAAGTAATTCACTCAATCACTTTGTGTGCACGTATTTTTTTATGATATCGCTTTTGTTTTTAGCATATCACAGATATGCATGTAAATGTATATTTGGTAATGAATCAAACATTTCACCTTGTGATATGAAATTGCAACCCTCTCTTGGTTCCCAGGTCTTTTAATTTAAAACACAAACGTCAAGTGTCAAAAATTTAGTATGCCCATCCCTCAATCGGGAACTATAACTAATGATATATTATTTATTTAAAGAAATCTCAGGATGAACTTTGAAATAAAAGCCTTCTGTACAACAATGTCATTTAATGTTTCTAAACATGATCCAAGGTGGTTTGAAGTCTTTGATACGGACCTGTAAATAGCTGATATGTGATTCCTATAAAATATGATGAAATATTGACAATTCTAGAGAAATCAAATTTATTCTAATCTTTGAAATTGAAATTTGGAAGTGATCTATGATATTATGTAATTACATGCTGTATTATATATTGGAATTAAAGTTGATATAAAAACTAAAATGTCATAGAAGTTAAAAACAAAAGTATACATTTTTTAAATTTTCAGATGTCTGGATACCTATTGTTATTTTTAAACTTAAAATGTGTTCGTTAATTAATTTTCAACCGAGAACAATACACAATTGATGTTTTTCTTCAAATTAAAATTACCCTTTAAGAAATTTGAGATTTTGTGACTTTCCACATGTACCATAATATCATTATAATGTGAACTTTTAAAAAATTGCAATGGTAGATACACTTCACTTTGTGAATTCAGTGACATTTTAAAAGCATTTCTAATCATTTAACAACTGAGGGACGGACTACCTTAATTTCCGTAATTGATTCCAAAACGAGGCAAGCTATTGACAAACAAATTGATGAAACAAGGATATCTCGTTTGAAGTCATCTATTCGCAAGTTTTACGGTCGATACAATGACCTTGTCAGCATATACAACCTATCATTGAGTCAAATGCTGACTGACGTTTTTCATACTAATTGTTAGGCCATTTTAATTTATACACTGAACTGTCTACGGATTTTTCCGGGTTTTTTTTTTTTTCATCATTACAAGGAGCACACGGCTGGTGTGACCGATCGGAAGGGGATGCTCACTCCTCCATGGCACCTGATCCCCCCTCTGTATTTTGAGGTCCGTGTTTGCTCTGCTCCAAATTTGTATCGTTTCATTAACTTTCGAGATTGAATACTGTTCGTTATCTTCATATTTCATTCAATAAAATAAATTACATAAAATATTTGTATAGGTTTTCTTATTAATATCATTGAAATATTATTCCAGCAAGAATCATAAACTTTTGTTTTGCATGTATCACACTGTGGTGAGAATATGTGCACATTTATTTATTTTTCTATCCAAAATACAGATATATCTCCACCTTGGACACGGCATTGGTCTTTCCAAATTATCCATAATGCATTTTATGCAGTGGATTCATTTTTCGTGATAAGGTAGGGTTTCTTTACAACTCATACTTTTATAACATGCTTATAAAGGACCTGCCTCAAGTGAGCTTTTCTTTTATTGAACTTTTAAAGCTGACTTTCAATATTTTATATATATATATATATATATATATATATATATATATATATATATATATATATATATATATATATATATATATATATATATATATATATATATATATATATATATATATACTTAGGGCAGTTATGTTAGTTTAAGAGTTGTAAAATGTGCTTCATAAATAAAATAATAATTTCATTACAACGTGTATTGGTAACGATCCTCTAATAAAACTAATGTCCAAATAACTGTATCTCACTTCCATTCTCAATGACCGTGTAGTGTAGGACAGCGCCGCGAGAATTCCATCGGCATCGAAAGCAAGTTTTTTGACTTGCCTAGATAGCCGAGCGGTCTAGCGCGCTGTTCCTGTACTGCTAGGAGACAGATTCCGTAGGTCGAGAGTTCAACCCCGGGCCGGGGCGGAAGTGGGTATCCTTATAAAAAAGTGAATTTCTTTGTACTTTATATATATATATATATATATATATATATATATATATATATATATATATATATATATATACTAGGTATGGCATTCTTCGAAATCAGAATTGCTATTCGTTTAACCATAAGACGTTCCAACCACAGGAGTTTGCATACCTATCAATTTTACCGAAATTTTTAGTAAATAAAAAAATACGTAATACCTATAATAATAACACATTATTATTAAAGGTATTACGTATTTATTATATAAATTTACTAAAAATTTCGGTAAAATTAATAGGTCGGCTTGGCCAAGATCAGGTGCCCATTTCCAATTAAATGATGTTATATAGATGTAACTCTTTTTAGTTACATCCAATCTAAATGTCTTTTGTTGCATTGCAAAGATCAGAATGAGAGCTTTCCATTGGTATATAATATCATATATATAGTATCTGCATTTTGAAAAAACAACAGAATGAAGCTAAAGATTCATAATATTTGAAGCGTTATGCTGTTGCATTTGATCTTTTACATTTTAAATAATGGTTAATTAAAATTTTGAATGAAACATTCCAAAATAAATATACTTTATTATAGAGAAATCATTCTGGTTAAGTTTATTTTTTACAGAAAAGAAAAAGGATAAAAATTGTGGAAATTATAAATAAATGTGTGCAGATATACCTGTTATATAATTTAAGATTTATCAGTGTTGGAATAAATGCATAATTTCTAGCAAAAAAGAGCAAATATAAGTGTTTAATTTTTTTTATTTTACTTAAGAAATAAAGTACTATGAGAAAAATATAGTGATTATATGATAAAGTGTAAAGTTTGCAATTTGTTTTCCCATTGTTTAATATTTTCACAGTTACCAGTAAAGTAAAAACAGTAATGAATAGCTTTTGCGCTAACATTAAAAAAAGTTATAGAAGAATGATTAATATAGGCCCGTATAGTCCGTAGCCCTAATATAATAACTTCTAGAAAAAAGTCATATACATTATTGATACAATAAATACAATACAATAATATGTTTATTAACAACAATTGTTAACAAATGCAATGTTTTTAAATACAAATACCACTGTAATTACAGATAAAATGTCTGAAAATTAACATTTTTCAACTAAAGGCTTGCTTATGTAGTATGTCCTGTTATGTTTGTGGTTACAATATATTTCTAAATATAGAAGATGATAAAGTACATACTGTCAATCCATTTAGAATAATTAATCTGGTTCTTTGTAGACTCTTCCAGTAATCGAACGACCTTTCCTAATAAGAATCTGAGCCACAAGACCACTAATATTAAAGAAAATAACGTTGTATCATCTCTTTGCTATCCCTGGGCGCTTTGCCCTTTTCGTTAATCACATTTTGTTTTTAATTTTTCTTTAGGATTCAAAGTAATGAATCCAGGTTTCATCTCCTGTTAAAAGTTCTGACAAACAAACTTCGATTATTACAGTTTTTGAAATTTTTGAATAATTGTTTGCATATTTTTACATGCCGTTGTTTTTGTTAATATGTCAAAGTATGTGGTATATATCGCGCGCTTAGCTTTTACAGTGTTAAATGTTCCTTCTAAACAGTGTGAACTGTCCCCGTAGATATGCCTTCTAACTTAGCTATGTGTCTAACAGTCAATCGACCATCATTAGCTGCAGAACTGTAGCTCTCTGCTTGAAAAAATTCGGACGGATAAAGCAGAGAGCTACAGATCAGAGCGTTGTAAAAACCTTCGATTTATGCCGCCGCTTTTTCGTTGCTCGCTTCGGGCATTATTTCTTGTATTTTATCCTTTCCCCCGCTTTAAGAATGGTATCCGATAATTAACCATACATTTTACTCCTATTCTCGATACTTTATTCACCTTTCGACGGTCCCAAACAGCCCTTTATGGTTTTGGAATGTCGGTTTAAATAATTCCAGCCCATTCCAACGTCCATGTTGGGGGTCGTAAAAAAATTAGAGTACATATACTTCCCGAGAAAATGTAAATAAAAAATTCAGGAGGTTCAAATATCATGTATATTGTCTATAAAAAAGACACTGTGTATCTAAAAAAGAAATGAGATAAATAAAACTCGGGCGTGTTATTTCAGGATGACGCCAACATGAACGTCGGAATGTACTTTTTAAACTGATACTCCAACACCACATACGGCCGTTATGAACCGTCGAAAGGTGAATAAAGTATCGAGAATAGGAGTAAAATGTATGGTTAATTATCGGATACCATTCTAAAAGCGGGGGAAAGGATAAAATACTAGAAATAATGCCTGAAGCGAGAGACGAACCAGCGGCGGCGTAAATCGAAGGTTTTTACAACGCTTGAATCTGTAGCTCTCTGCTTTATCTGTCCGAATTTTTAAGACAGAGAGCTACAGTTCTGCAGCTAATCAGGTGTATACACCGGGCTAGTCTTATTAACTCTTGCTTTGTCAAATCATTACTTTCATACCCCTTGCATTTAAGAAAACCAATGTTATAAAAATATCTGACATATAACAAGTGTAGCGCACGGGCACTTGTTTCGTATACGGGGCACCCCTACTTATTTTTACCACAAGGTACCTAACTCAATTTCAGGCACCCCCGCTTCAAGCTCGTATTCTGTTAATATATCAATCATTAACCTACTTTAAAATGACATCGTTCGCTTCGAAAGACTTTTTTCTTGTCAATTAAATCGTTTCAGACGTCTCTGGTCGAGACTCTTTATTGTAAACCACTCATTTATTCCTCGAAAATTGCCTCGATACAAAATAAGACTTTGAATGGGATACAAAAGCTTCCCGTTGGGGTTATTAATGAAGGATAAAACCAGAGACCTCGGAATGGAATACTCGGAAGTAAAGACCTTGCTGCGTGTTCAAATAAATTATGTGGTAGTGTTACACTATTCATTGTATGCATTTACAAGTAACATATTGAAACAGTGGTATAATCGAACACTCTTCTACCAAAGCTATACTCACATTGACATCCCTACTTAGCATACATGTATACGTTAAATGTGGTAGAGATACAGCTGTAAAGAAGAATAAAACTATATTTAATGCCTAAAGTTCGAGTAACGCTTATTTGACAAAGGAAAATTTCACTTGTCTCATCATTATAATTCTTCATTTTTTTTTTTACAGTGGTTTGCTATTGAGTTATTTAACTCTCAAAGAGTTACGGAAAAGAGACGGAAGACTGAATTGGCCAATGTTCTATTTCCATAGATTCTGGAGGTACTCTACTGGAGGATTTAATACGTGTTTTAGTGTCATTTTTATAACATTTTGCTCTGTGTTATTATATCAAATATTAAGATAAATAAACTATATTGACCATTTAAAGAATATAATTATTCATCGATAATTATCACAAATAATTTGATAACTTGACATATAAATTCCGTTCGTTCTTAAAGAGCATTGAAAGTAAAGTAATAAAGGAAATGTCATTTTGTCATCTATAAATGAAAAGAGCTTCAAAGAAAATTATTCAAACTAGCTTCTGTCATAAGATTATTTACTCTTTTTTTAGGTTAACTCCAGCCATGATGCTTGTTATATTGGTTAACACAGCATACTTTCAATACTGGGGCTCGGGGCCCTACTGGCCCTCAAGATCCACCGATCACGATCAATGTACCCGTTACTGGTGGTTAAACCTGCTGTATATACAGAACTTCTTTCCAATTAAAATGCAGGTTAACTTTATTTTATTTATTTTTTTTATCGGCTTCTATGTTTTGTTTTTTTAAATTTATCCATTTATTTATTATTGTTTGGTTATTGTACATTAAATTCGTGGAAGTGAATTTGTCAGTTTTCAAAACATTGACGCACAAATTTCATGTATGTTTTTCAGTGTTTAAGATGGGGTTGGTATGTGGCGTGTGATATGCAGTTTTATGTGATATCACCATTGCTGATATATCCTCTATATAGGTAAGCGTCATCTTGAGAACGTCTTAACCTTCTTTATGTCCTCATATACAGTACTTACTTGTAGCTAACACATGTTGATCGTCACAACATGGTGAATGCTGTGACAAGTAATCATAAACGTGCAATGTCTACGGAAGCCCGTACAACTTTGCCTCTTCAAAGACTTTCAACAATTCCAAACATTAATAGGAAAGCGTTAATATCAGAGTTGTTTATCAATAATAAGCCTTTTTTGATGTTTTATTGTTAGCTATTAGTTTTATTGATGTCACCCGAACGAAGTCCGGCAACATATTGTTATATGTATAATTTTATCTGCGAATGTTCTTGCAGATGAATGAAACTTGAAAGATTATTATCGTTGACTCCAATTCTACTTTTCACGACGGTAGCCTAGTGGAAGGGCGCTTGCTTCGTGATCGGGAGGCCCGGGTTCGATTCTCGTTCACCGCGCTGCGTCAAACTTAAGACGTAAACATAGGTAGTGACTGTTCCTTCGCCAAGCGCCCTGCACTAGAAGTGAAAGTCACGGGTGTTTCGGATGAGAACTTAAAAACCGAGGTCCCATGTCACGTTGGCGTTGGCGCGATTAAGAACCCTCACTGCTCCATGGTTCTGAGTGCCGAGTATAGGTCTAAATTTGAAGCCCTTCACCTGCATTCGGTGACGTCTCTATATGAGTGAAAAATTCTCGAATGGGACGTTTTAAAACAATATACCACCAATCTACTTTTCACACTTAAAATTTTCAAAATGGCTACAGTTGCCAAGAAAACGGAATATGCAAATTTTTCAATTTAATTTTTCTCAGCAATTATCAAGCATGAAACCCTATCAATTATGAAACCTAAAAAGTTTGTACCTCATATTGTGTTTAAGTGGTTTGTGCACAAAAATTTTAACCTGTTCGACAAGATTTGTCCCTGTAGCCATGAAAAGAACAAATGATTTAAGATAAGTTCTTATCTTATGACCATTGTGTATTAAAATTATCACTGTAAGTGGTCTTGTGAAATACTACGCTGATTTTGTGCTTACTTGCTTTCTCTGCTATCAACTGCAATACTAGTATTACAGCGTTGAGTTCAGTTCAGGATGACATGCGCTATTACTTCCAATAGCAAACTTGCTGGTTTATTTTTACAGTATTTTATGTCCTCGAATAATTCCATTCATATTTCGATTTTGATAGAAAAATCAAAATTTTACCACGTGAGCCTTGGTCTAGGGATTCTTTTGTAAAGTATTAAAAACAATCGATGCAGAGGGTTCATAAAGAAGGGAAAAAACTTTACTTTAAATTACTTAAATTTTAGACTATAACTTGGACAATAACAATTGTTTTGCTCATTGTGAACGCCATCGAAAGATGGATGTTAATGTTCTATGGCAAATTTTCACTGAAAACCTTGCAAATATCATAAAAATGGGTAACAATGATTAGCTAAATCGTCGATTCTCTCAGACATAAGATAATATCTCTGATTATCCTTTGAAAATTTATATAGTGTACTCTAAATAATTAATGACATTTGATGAGATCAACTTGTGACTATACGGGATAAAGGAGTTCAGTCTCTTAGGTACTGGCGTCTGCCGTGTTACATTCTAATTCACGACCACACATGCTTTGACAAATGCATGCGCAATTTGATTGGTCGAAAAAAAAAGCAAATCTATGGTTGATCAAGAGAGAAAACCATGAATTCAATTCTTATATTCACATTCTCTTATTTTCTCTCTTTCGTTAATCTTTATTATGAATTTAGCGCCTTTTAGAATGTGTCTGCTTAAAAGACGTAAGAGCTCTTGTGACGTTGGAAAGTTAAATAATGCAAATGAATATTGCGTGGGGAAAAATAACAAATCAATTTTAAATTTTAATTTACAATTGTTACAATTTTACATAATTTAATAGGGTAATTAGTTTAAATTACACTAAGCTAAACAATATAAATTCTGGTGTTCCTAGAGTATTGAAAATGTATACGGTTCCTATCGTGTATTCTACCGCGAAGTGACAAGGTTTCGCATGTATTGTCTTTCACTGATTAACAATTTTCAATTGCCAATGAGTACATGACTAAATTAGTCATGTACTTATTGGCAAATGAAAATTGTTAATTAGTGAAAGACAGTATTATAGGATATTGAATATTGTAGGTTTCCAAGGGGTTTCATAAAGTAAATTACATTGAATGTAAATCTTTTGAGGTGAACTCACTCTGATGTACACCTCAGGAAAGGAAGTCTAGCCCAATCAGAGAGCGTCAAAATTCTTGATTATTAAATAATTTGTACATGGAATATGATATGCAATCAAGTCATCTGGGTTCTTTTTACCCCCCCCCCCCCATCCTATCCTTTCGAAAAGAAAAACATATATATATATATAATATATATATACTGGCCCGTAGGAAGTAATTTCATTTTTTTTATTTGGGGGGGGGGGAGCACAGCCATAAATATTTAATTGGGGTGCACAATCAACTACCCAAAATTCCTTGGCAAGCAAAAAAGGGGAGAGAAAAAAAGGTCATCAGACGTTTTCATTGAGGGGGCACAAACATATAGTAGCTATGTTTTCTATAGTAATCTATATATCGGCAAATTAAGGGGGTGGGGGGCACGGCCCCTCCGTTCCCCCCGGTTGCTACGGAAATCAACCATTTACTGGACACTCTACAAATCAAACAGTCATTACGGGTACTTTAATTCTCCTTGATCGCGACATATATCAGGGGCTGTAAAGGAAAACGTAACGAGAGCCATTGTAAAAATGGTGATTGACGAATATCTGTCTTCTTCGGGTGTCGATAAAATTGTTTTCTTAAACAAAAAACAAACTGACCGTTTCGAGTGACATCTAAAATCAAAATTCTTTGAAGATATTGTATGTGTGTGTGTGTGTTTGAGTTTGTAATTGTAAATATAGTTCATATACAGTACATTTGTTTTATTTCTACCGATAGGTAAAGGATGAGGTAAATAATAGATATGGTAACTGTAACGAAAAATCATCCGATTAACTGGGTACTCGATCGGAAAGGTAAGCGAGTAACCGGTTACTAAAAATCGTCCGATTCGACAACACTAATACACACACACACACACCCTCACACACACACACACACACACACACACACACACACACACACACATATATATATATATATATATATATATATATATATATATATATATATATATATATATATATATATATATATATATATATATATATATATATATATATATATATATATATATATATATATATCTTAAGAAAATCACATATACTTAAAATGTTGTTGTTTAATTTATTTAATCAAACTTATATTCATTCAAAAGATTGTCGTATTTTCACTTTCTTAATGGCGCTATTTGTAGGTCGCGGAAGGATTCTTCTAAAATGTTACGATATCGTTTTTTTAAATCCAGTTTATATAATTCAGAATGATTTAAGTGGACTGAAATTTATTTTCTGAGTTTACACAAATGTGTATACCATTTTCAGGTACGATTTGATGGTGTATTCAGATTTTTTATTGGATGCTAGATTAAAAATATAATTTGTTTCAATGGTGATGACATACCGTTATTTTGGATAAAATAATGCCAGAAAAATAATCATTCATTACATACTCGAGTGGGATAGTGAAATTCCACCTCGGGGCCAAGATTCACTGTTCTAGAACTCGGCAAAGCCTCGTTCTAGACCGTGAATCTTGTCCCCTTTGTGGAATTTCACTATCCCACACTCGTAGTAATGAATGACTCTTATAGCCTCACTTTGATATCCATGTAGAAATGTTAATTTTTTTCAATTTAGAAAACCATGGGTAGGTTACGTTATAGCAGGGGCTATAATTCTCATACAGGCTGTGTTCAGAGGTGTCATGTCCGTAAAATTGGACTTATCTTTCAACTCTTCACCCAAGTAAGTGCACAATACTGATTGAATATGTGGAGAACAAAATATTTGAATGAGTTTTATAATCAAAGATGTATCGATACTGTATAAGTGCAATATTGCATGATATTTCAGTATAAAGGGTCTTGGATATAGTGTTGGACTTGATTCTAAATCTTTTTATAATAAAAATCCTTTTTTAGTTCATAAATATGCAAATGAATTTTTTTATGAAACTAAAAAATGAAATTAAATGAATCTTTTCAGTTTAGAATTGCACTTAACTGGGAAAACCAAGGTTTTGTCACATTCATGACCAAAGATCATTTGAACATATCCGTGTACACGAAATGTAGAATACTCAGACTGGAAGAAAAATTCGGAATCATTATATAAGAAAGATAATAAATATACCGGAAGTGACTTCGTAGAAAAGAGATAAAAATTAGCCTACATGTACGTATGACACACATGACTTTGTGTGGAATGTGACAATTCACCCGGCTAAATTGGAGCAGATGCAGTTTTGTGTCCTCAAAAAAGGTGAAATTCTTGTCTGGTCATCCTTTGAAAACTAGAAACATTATTATGATTGCTTGAAACACGTCATGAAATAAACACGAGCTTCTTTCTACATGGCCAACAATTTTCAGCAACAAAAATTTCTTCATCAATTTGTTCTTCATCAAAAATGACGTGTCGAAAGTTACATATTCCTCGGTCATTTAGAGACTAGTATTTCATAAGAAAAATAATTGTAAATTTAAATCTAAAAAAAACATGCTGATTAGAGTTTTAACATTAAATTCTTTGATACCAAATTTAAATGTTTGAGAAAGGACAATCCATATACCTTAATATTTTTTTGTTTTCACTTGTTTACATACTGTCTACAAGCCTTGATCAATACCTATTTTTGTATTCATATGAAGAAGTATTTTTTTTTTCAAAAACTTCTACATGAGAAGAAACACTTGCTGTGGCCTTTAACTCGACATTTAGATATATCGACGACGCATTATCAATTAACAATAGTTACTTCCATTCTTATGTCGACTCGATATATCACAGTGAACTTGAAATAAAAGATACCCCACAGTCTGACACATCTGTTTCATATTTGGATATTTTACGAGAAAAAGACCTTAATGGTAAATTAACAACAAAGCGTTATGATAAAAGCGATGACTTCAATTTTTTCAATCGTCAACTTCCCTTACTTATGTAGCAATATACCCTTATCACCTGCAGTTGATTCGATACGCAAGAGCATGCACTACGTATGAACAATTTCTAAAACGAGGCAAGCTCTTGTCAAACAAGTTGATGAAACAAGGATATCAACAGACTCGTCTGAAGTCATCATTTCGCAAGTTTTATGGTCGATAGAATGGCATTGTCAGCAAATACAACCTATCATTAAGTCAAATGCTGTTTGACGTTTTTCATATTAATTGTTAGGCCATTATTTACACACTTAATTGTCTACGAATTTTTTTTCCGTTTTCCCGATCTTGTCAAGAAGCACACGGCGGGTGTGACGGGTCGGCAGGGGATGCTCACTCCTCCATTGCACCTGATCCCACCTCTGATGTTTTGGAGGTCCGTGTTTGCTCTGCTCCCGATTTGTATTGTCTAAATGGACTTTGAGCTTTAATACTGTTATCGCCATATTTCATGTACAAGTATGTAGAACTCTTACACTTTATATTGTTTTAGTGTTCATGCAACTGTCATGTTTTGATCAAGTTTGATTTTTTTTCCATGCCATGATCAAATGGCTTTTATTAGGTTACCTGAATCACTCATGCGACCTATTGCTATCTGTTTTCGTCTGTCGTAGTTCGTCGTACGTCGTCAATCGGTCGTAAACTTTTGAACATTTTTAGCTTCTTCTCTGGAACCACTGAACCAATTTCAACCAATTTTGGCAAATAGCATCTATGGGTGAAGGGGAAGAAAAATTATGAAAATCATGATCCCTGCTCCCATGGGGTCTGAGGGGTGCGGCTAAAACCATCAAAACGATCTTTAATCAAAAGCAATCTTTAAAAATCTTCTTTTCTCCTGGACATCAAGCAGTCAAACTGTTAGCATAAATGTAATAAGCATTGAATTCTACCAAAATTATGAAATTCATGGCCCCTGGGTCAGGGGTTCTGGTGTTAGGGCGGAGCTCTAATGATTATATAGTGAAAATGCATTAATTCTTTGAAAATCTTCTCCTCTGCTCCCGAGTATTAAGCCGATGTTGGATAATCCAAATACATAGTTATGACGAGGAAAAGTGCCTGTTCTGGTGATAGGACTCTAAGGATTTTATTGTGAAAATGCATTAATTCTTTGAAAATATACTCCTCTGCCCCTGCGTATTAAGCCAATGAACTAAGCACATAGTTATGATGAGGAAAATTGTGAATTTCATGGCCCCTGGGTCAGGGGTTCCGTGGGGGGGGGGGGGCTTATTTATTATATACTGAATATAAATTAATCCTTTGACAATCTTCTCCTCTGCTCCTGAGCATTTAGCCGATGAACTACGTACATACACAGTGTAGTTATGATAAGGAAGAGTGCCTCACTCAAAATTATGAATTTCATGGTTCCTGTGTCAGGGGTTCCATGAGGGGGGGGGGGGGAGGCTTATTTATTAAATACTGAATATAAATTAATGCTTTGAAAATCTTCTCCTTTGCTCCTTGGCATTTAGTCGATGAACTACGTACATAGTTATAATAAGGAAGAGTGCGTCTGTGAACTTCATGACCCCTGGGTCACGGGTTCCGTGGGGGGAAGGGGATCTCATTTATTATATACTGAAAATAAATTAATGCCTTGAAAATCTTCTCCTTTGCCCCTTGGTATCAAGCAAGCAAACTAAATGCATAGTTATGATGAGAAAAGGTACCTCTTCCAAAATTGTGAATGACATGGCCCCTGGATCAGGGGTTGTTCTGCTTGGATGGGGCTCTATTGATTCCTTAGCAAAATGCATTAATGTATTGAAAATCTTCTCCTCTGTCCTTTAGTACTAAGCAAGCAAACTAAATGCTATAACAACAATGTACATGTATTAAATATCATTATAAATAAATGTGCCTTTTCTTTGCTCCTGTGTATCTAGGAGGAAAACAGAGTACACAAGTGTAATAAGTGAAGCAAATGAAAGTTACTCCCCTTTGCTAGATGTTGTTATCAAGAAATCCTTGTATTTAATTTAATTAACAGGTTATTTGATTGAATGAGAATACAAGAAGGAATGTTATATATATATATATATATATATATATATATATATATATATATATATATATATATATATATATATATATATATATATATATATATATATATATATATATATATATATATATATATATATATATATATATATATATAAGGGATGTCAACGAATAGTCGACTATTCGACTATCAGTCGAATGGACCGACGATCGAATAATGAAACGACATTCGAATATTATTATTATTAAATAAATGCAATAAAAGAGTGATTTAACGAGATGGAATTCTCATCTTTAATTTTCCTCAACAAAAAAACGATTGACTTTCCATGTGCTTATAGAAAGTAAAGTAATTGTTAGTGCTTCACTACCGCGGGAAGTATATGTCAGTTACTGCCTGTGTTGTTTTTGTAATAAATTACCCATCAAATTACTGGACTTTGTTTGGAAAATTATTAATTGGGCTTGACCTTATACCCTGTACCAATTATATTTTTTTTGTTTTCGGATTGCTCAAATCCAAGGAACACAACATAGCCGTGACATGTTTTGACACTTCGATAATTATTAAAACAATCCGCTTACATTTTAAGGACATTTTGATAGCCGGGGCAATCAATTGAATAAGTAGTATCTGTTTAATAATATCACGAGAACCTGATTTTTATTTATTTTATAATAAGCTGAAATAAATAAATAAAAAAATTTAAAAAGATATATCGGCTGGTAATTTTTAAATAATACTTACCATAACAAAAATCGACTGTATAGATCGATTTATGAATTCGATTGACGGGGAAATTATACATGTACATTTTGGAGAATTAGGTGTCTTAATTTATTTCATATAATCATGGCTATCCACACGTTACGTTGCATTAATTTTTATGTTACGTTTTAAATAGATTTATGTAAAAGGTTTTTTGAGTTACAAATACGTCATGCACCAGTGAAGTTTGAAATAGACTTTTATTTTCAGAAAATGTTCCGAATATTCGACTATCGTTCGAATAATGCAACTGAATAATCGACTAAGGAAAATAAATATTTTGACATCCCTAATATATATATATATATATATATATATATATATATATATATATATATATATATATATATATATATATATATATATATATATATATATATATATATATATATATATATATATATATATATATATATATATATATATAAACAAAATAAAAATGAATATTCGGTTTAAATGAGCAAAGCAGGCTCAAAGTCAGATTTTTGTCTGGAAAGCAATATAAAAGATTGACATAAAGATTATTTATATATTTAGCACAAGCTGTAATTGTACCCAGTATGTTTACACTGTTGTGATCTGTTCGACAGTAGATGAGTTGTTGTGACTGGTAGAGTCATGGTTGGCAAGAGACTGAATAAAGTTGTTTTATACTTTATCAAAGTGAACAAAGAATCACAGAGAGCCAGGATGACTTATTGTAATTAGTGACATAACCACGTTGTATACCTAAGTCTGTGTGTACTGAATTGTAGCACTAGGCAAGTGACAAAAATATATCTGTATATATTGAATACCTTACACAATAGGCAAGTGTCCATTGTATTTGTATAATTTGTATTCATTATCATCCCTGTAAGACTTGGAAAAACCAAGTACTAGTATGATCCCAAGGAGATCACTTGTGTCCAGCACGTTACAATAAGCAAGGGTATTTTCATCAATTTTTTTGTTTGTTTGTTTGTTTTTTGGAACAGTGTTGTATTATACTCTGGTGACCATTAAGGCCCTTGGGCCTCTTGTTCCCTATGCATACATCATGTACAACAATGCTTTTATTAAGTGTACATTATTTTTATTATTTCAGTGTACATGAGTTTCTTGATCTTGTGTGTTTTTCTCTATGTTCATGTATCTACTAGTATGTAAAATTCTTTCATCAATATAACCTACTCATCTAAAATACAATATTTTACGTACCAACTTTATGGAAATAATTCATAAAATATTAATTTAATCAATAAAATATATTCCTTTGCTTATCGGGGATTAAAGGTTGCAACCATCACAGGAAGAAAAATGTACACTCTCTTCACTATTACGTACAATATACTATAGCTTACATATATGTAAAGAATAATTTGTGTTTTAGTGAAATGATTTCAAAATTATTACATGATACCCAGGTGGCCATTAAGTCTCAGTTGTTTTCTATATCTAAAATAAGAAAAATTTATGTAACCATGATATTAATTTTATCATTTATCTTTTGTTAAAAATTACGGAAGCCCGTTGAGGCCAGTTCGGAGAAAGAAATATTTTTTATTGCGTTTAAACGCAATAATTATTGCGTTTAATCGCAAAACATTGCGATTAATTGCAATAATCATTGCGTTTAAACGCAAAAGATTGCGTTTAATCGCAATGTATATTGCGTTTAAACGCAAAACACTTTGCGTTTAATCGCAAAAGATTGCGATTAAACGCAATATTTTGCGTTTAAACGCAATACTTTTGCAATAAAACGCAATAATTTTTGCGTTTAATCGCAATGATATTTTTGCGTTTAAACGCAATACTTTTGCGTTTAATCGCAATAAATTTTGCGTTTAAACGCAATACTTTTGCGATTAAACGCAATACTTTTGCGATTAAACGCAATACTTTTGCGATTAAACGCAATACTTTTGCGTTTAATCGCAATAAATTTTGCGTTTAAACGCAATACTTTTGCGATTAAACGCAATACTTTTGCGATTAAACGCAATACTTTTGCGTTTAATCGCAATAATTTTTGCGTTTAAACGCAATACTTTTGCGATTAAACGCAATAATTTTTGCGTTTAAACGCAATAATCTTTGCGTTTAAACGCAATAATCTTTGCGTTCAAAGGCAATAATCTTTGTGTTTAAAGGCAGTCATTTGTATCAAACCTTGCAGAGTACAATGGACCCACGCATACCTATATCTTTTATTTCTTTCTCTTTTTACTTATTAGGAAATTGTGTGTTGTCTTTATAGAATCAGATTTCTCCGAGCAAACACTCTCTGAAAGGTAAATTACTAATAAGAATTTATAGAGGAGAAAAAAAATGTCGGGTTGTAAAAACAAAGGAATCCTAAGAACGAGACATGTCTTAAGCTTATTCTCAACATTTTTAATGAAGTTTCGGTCAGTTGTTCTGCTAAAAAAAACTGCCCCATACGTTGCAGTCACAAGTTTAAATCATGTATAAAGGGATTTTTGGAAAGGACTGAGGAAATGTTGGAATTACGTACAACATGATGAAGTATTTAGACTTCAATGTACATTCATAACCCTTCCTATGGTTGCATACAGTAAACACAAGAACATATGTGATGGATTTATATGAGGTCAAAATCAAAATCAAATGAAAACAGATTGATCGATGTGCACTACATGTATCAAATTGACACATGCTATTAATACCACTGAAACTTTTTCTATAAGTTGTGATACACGTAAGCAATTGAACAGAGACTTCATTAAGAGTTTTGAGTTCTAATACATTTAAGACATTCAGGTTGTTAGGATGCCATTGTTTTATTACAATTTTCAAAAACTGGAAAATTTTGCAAAAAGACACAGAACAAATCGGATCTTCTTAAAGTTGAAGTGTCGGGTCCTAGCACATGTAATTATAAGCTTTGACTAATTCATGTTTGATTTTGAAACTACAGTATCATTGTGTTTAAATGCAAAACAAATCCTTATAAGGAAGGATTATTGCGTTTAAACGCAAAGATTATTGCATTTAATCGCAATACTATTGCGTTTAATCGCAATACCATTGCGTTTAATCGCAAAAGTATTGCGTTTAATCGCAAAAGTATTGCGTTTAATCGCAAAAATTATTGCGTTTAAACGCAAAAATTATTGCGTTTAAACGCAAAAAATATTGCGTTTAAACGCAAAAATATTATTGCGTTTAAACGCAAAAAGTATTGCGTTTAATCGCAAAAGTATTGCGTTTAAACGCAAAAGATTGCGTTTGATCGCAATCTTTTGCGTTTAAACGCAAAGTGTTTTGCGTTTAAACGCAATATACATTGCGATTAATCGCAATCTTTTGCGTTTAAACGCAATAATTATTGCGATTAAACGCAATGTTTTGCGTTTAAACGCAATAATTATTGCGTTTAAACGCAATAAAAAATATTTCTTTCTCTGAACTGGCCTCAACGGGCTTCCGTAAAAAATAGTCTGATCATACTTTATTTTGAAAAAAAATACCAATTGTTGATTTTCTTAAATAGTACCAATGTCTTCCTTAACCAAGTGTACGACAAACCGTACAACAGCGTGAGTGCATACGTCATCGGAATTCTAACTGGATATATCATGTGGAAAACAGAGAGACGCGTAACTATACCAAAAGTGAGCAATGACAATAATAGCAAATTTCTTGCTGACAGACATACTATATTAAAGGTTTAAGTTGAATGTGCTTCTATTAATGAATTTTGCAAGAATTTACAAGGATTAATAATAAAGCAGCTTAAACGTTTCCATTAGATGCATTCCTCGATTATTTCACCTAATTCATTTAAATTTTTAATAGCTGTGCGTGGTCCTGGGATGGATTTTAGCCCTTGGTAGTATTTCATCTCTGGTATTTGGGACGAATGAATTTTACGAGGGACATAAGCCCTCTAAATTTGTTAGTGCGCTCTACAACTCCTTCTGCAAAACAACGTGGGGTCTAGGTTTAGCTTGGATCATTTTTATCTGCGATGTAGGATATGGAGGTAATATATATTCAAATTTGTTATGAAAAAAAAGTGTTCAAGTTGTTAAAAATTCCACAATTCTTTCTCTCTCTCTCTCTCTCTCTCAAAGTACATGTTCAACTATGACCCCTTTTTAAATATACAAGATAATTGAACTTAAAAATCATTGAGTAGAAAGGAAACCATTTAATTGAACTTAAAAATCATTGAGTAGAAAGGAAACCATTTAATTGAATGAGTTTATATTCGAAAAAGTCATAAGTTCTGTGATACGATGTCAATTAATGGTTTTATTTTGTTTAATTCTTGCTTATCCTCTATTTTTTAATGTATGTAGGTTTTGTCAACACATTCCTGTCCGCTAGACTGTGGTCCCCCCTGACTCGCCTGACCTACTGTGCTTACCTTGTCAGTCCTATAATCATAATTGTCTACCATCTAAGTCAAAGATATCTTATTTACAACTCAGTCATGAATTTAGTAAGTATTATATAGTATTTATAAACATTATTAAAACAATGAAATATGGTGAGAGAAAGGTTCAATTATTTAACCACGTATTTTGAGATCAACCACATCGTGAACAAATGCATAAAAAAGCTGGATTTAGCCTTTACTGGTATGAAAAAGTGAAATAAAGACTCAATTTTCCTATATTACAACACTGTATTTGAAAGTAAGTTTGCTCAGACATGCTTTTTACAGTACTTTTTTGCACTGTAGCTTAAATTTTACATAAATGTTATTCGAAAAGAGTTTGTCAGAAGCAAGGCTAACTTGTTAATATAGAAGATTCCTTCGAAAGCTAAGCCTATACGCGCATGAATATTTAGATTAACTGAATATCTTTTTTTTAACTTATAGCATTAATTAATTTAGTCAATATTTTATTATATAAAGTCAAATTACATAATTGGATAGGACATCAGGCATATCCTATATAAGTCCTCTCCAGGAAGGTCAAGGTTACAAATGTTTAGAATTAATGAAAGTATGTAATAGTTAACAATGATAAGTAGTTCATAATTAATTATATTAATTTCTAACGTAAACTAGAAAAGAAAGAAATGAAAAAGATAAATTGTACCCTGGAGCAAATTACTTAGCATGTATCCACATTATACAATATAAAAAAAAGAAAATGACAGAGTGCAACAAACAACGAAACTAAAGTGCAAAAGACAAATATAAAAGCAAAATACAACATAAACATGAAAATTCTGAGATATGAAGTAAGTACAACATCAAAAAATTTACTTAAAAAAAAAGACTTAAAATGAAGTAATATAGCATTCAGTACTTTAATACCAATCGTTGAAAAACAACCTCAAATGTGTTACGTACGGTAGACATCCATGACAATCCCCCTTCTCCTAAACTTCAAAATAAATGTAAAGAGGTCACTTATCTGTAGGGTATGGAGCTTAAACAGATATTACGTAAAATATATACTACAGAAGGGACTTCCAACTCCGTCCATCAAATACCTTAATAAATAAGAAGCGACTCCATGAAATGTATTAAGATAACGAACAGTATTCAGGTTCAAAAGTCCATCAAACAACACAAAATAGGAGCAGAGCAAACACAGACCTCCAAACATCAGAGGTGGGATCAGGTGCCGTGGAGGAGTGAGCATCCCCTGCCGACCGGTCACACCCGCCGTGTGCTCCTTGTCATGCATGACCGGGAAAAAAACGGAAAAATCCGTAGACAATTCAGTGTGTAAATAATGGCCTAACAATTTGTATGAAAAACGTCAGTCAGCATTTGACTCAATGATAAATTGTATTTGCTGACAAGGTCATTGTATCGACCATAGAACTTACGAAATGATGACTTTAAACGAGACAGCTGATATTCTTGTTTCATTAACTTATTTGTCAATAATATACCTCGTTTTAGAAATTGTACATACGTAGAGCATGCTCTTGCGTATCGAATCAACTGAGAGATATATACCCGTATGCAGGTGATGAAGGTATATTGCTGCATAAGTAAAGGAAGTTGACGATTGAAAAGTTAAAGTCATCACGTTTATCATAAAGCTTGGTTGTTAGATTACCATTAACGTCTTTTTCAAGTAAAATATCCAAATATGAAACAGATGTGTCAGACTCTGTGGTATCTTTTATCTCAAGCTCACAAGGATATATCGTATCGACATAAGAATGGAAATAGCCATTGTTAATTGACAATACGTCAATACATTTTATATATTTTTTTTTACATCCGATGATGTAATTACATTGGAGGTGTTTTTCCGAGCTTGCCGGAAAAGTTCGAGAAGATGTGATTGCCTTAATACGATGTGCACGTAATAAGAAATCCGTATCCCCCAGAAGACATAACAACCATCTACATGCTGAATGAAAAGGGTAAAGATAATGAACAGTGATCAATCTCAAAAAATCAACAAATAATAAAAATTTGTTAACAGGGCATAAAACACGGACCCCGCAAATTCCATAGGTGGGATCAGAGGCCTAGGAGGAGTAAGCATCTGCTGTTTGTCACACCCGCCGTGAGCCCTTTATATTAATCAGGTAGGCGGAACATTAATGAATAAATTAAATAATTAATTAATTAAAATATAATCCAAAATCGGAAAATGATGCAATATTTCATAGTAATTTGGGGGAGGGGGGTAGAAATGTTTCAGGTAGGACCTTCACAATATTTACCCCAAACACAAATTAATCGGACAAGAAAATAATGATACATTTTTCTTGACATGGAAAAGATTGAAGCATTAAATGCTACATTTTACTAAATTCAAACAAAAAGATGTTTCGTGTTAAGCTTTGCTTTATGTTCATTATCTTTTGAGGACAGATTTAGCGAAATAACTATTGAAGACCAAAATATCGAAGGGTATATTTTATTCCCTTACAATCATCAAAACCTTTTGATCATTTTTTTTATTAGTCACAAAATAAGTCATTGTTGAAGTCGACATATTTTACTGCATCAAAACAATTATGTTTACAATTTTAAATCAATGAGCTCATGAAAAAGTTTTTTTTATAAACTTTTGAAAAACAATTCACATTTGACTTTAAAATAATTGACATTATTATTATTTTCTCCAAACCTATAAATGCAAGAGTTGGTGAAGGTGCTTGCAGGAATGCGTAATACCAATGCAGGGTAAAAATGAAGCCCATACTTTACTCATCTAAAGTTCCATTTAATGTTAGAGAAGCTCGACTTTCTGTGTTCGGACAATTGATCATTCTTCATTATCGACGTCACTGATGTTGCTAAAAATGTGTCCCTCTGTTACTTATCTGCTGTTGACAATTAGATTTTGCTAGCATGTTTCACAAAAAGGCGACTAGGCATTAAAAATTGATTTTATTTAATTTCATATTTATTTGATATGATAGTTACATCTGTTGGTTAAGTACCTGAATGAAATAGATAAAGACTACGGCGAACTATCCAAAAAAAAAAATACAAAAAATGGTCATAAATTAAAACACGGACCTCTGAAAATGTCAGAGGTGGGATCAGGTGTCTAGAAGGAATAAGCATCTTCTTGTTTCCATCTTGACCGGTCACACCCACCGCGAGCCCTGTGTATTGATCCGGAACAGGGAGTAATCCGTATCAAATATAGTATAATAGCGAAGGCATAGCAACTGGTATGAAATATGTCAGTCAAAATAGAACCCCATGTTAAGTTGTATTTCCTAACAAGGTCATTATCAGGACCATAAAATTTGCGAAATACTGATTTTTAATGAGGTTGTGAAATCCGTGTAACGTCAGCTTATTTCTCCTGCTTCTGTTTTAAAATTGATCATACCCAGAGCTTGCTTTTTAAATTTGGGAGACACTAACACCATATGCAGATGATTGTGGAAGAATACTACCTAAATAAGGAATGTTGACGACGGAAAAGCTGAAGTCATGTCGTTTGTCGTATACAGTAGTTTAGTTGTTAGTTAGCCCTTACCGTCAATAAAACATGCGAATATGAAACAAATTTCGCAGACTCTGTGGTGTCTTTTATTTTGAGTCAACTGAGATATATCTAGTAGACATATGAATGGGAGTTACAATTTATAATGATAAAACGTCGTCGTTATATCTGAATGTCTAGTTGAAGACCACAGGGAGTGTTTTCTTCTTCTCATGTGGAAGTTTTAAATTCTGCTTCTTAGGAATATAAAACAGGTCGGCTAACAAGGCGCACAATTATTGCCCATCGAAATTCCAACAGATTGTTGAAAGACCAAAGACTACATAGATGTTGTTTATGATTGAGGAACTTCAGCATCCTTTTAACATCAACCTCAGAGTACTTCTGTGTAGAATCAAAGTATTTTTTTTACCAAGTAATTTTAAAGATGGCCAACCATATGAAAATGTCTGAGTTCTATTTTTATTAAAGAATCAGTTATCTATGATATCAAAAAACCTAGTTTTTAATTTATCGTGAGGAATGGTAGGAAAAAAGTGTAGGAAAGTTATACGTTTTGATGTTAGTGACTTTTGAAAAAAAATTGTGATTTTAAATTTTCGAAGAGTTCTTCGAAGTTTCTGATAATCCTCATTTGATTTACACCACTTTATGAATATGCTGTAGCACATTACATCTTATGTTTCTCCTTTACAGCAGTTAATATTTTTGTGAGAAATAAAGATAGGGACTATCATTGCTGGACTCGGCAATGTATGTTTCCATGTAAAGATTTTTATAAAGCTTAGGAATCCAGCATATAGGTAGGATAGATCGAACTTACTTTCGGTTGACAGGAATGTAGAAGGTTTAAAATATTTACATTTCCAAATATTTTTCCTTAAGAATCTTTCCAAATTAGAAAAAGTTCATGTTCTTGTGAACTATCGTGGGATGAGAAAGAATATTTCCATTGTGGTGTGATTGAGGTCAAAAAATAGTGCAAACCTTTTTTTCCAAATTAGAAAAAGTTCATGTTCTTGTGAACTATCGTGGGATGAGAAAGAATATTTCCATAGTGATGTGATTGAGGTCAAAAAATAGTGCAAACCTTTTTTTTCAAAAATGATCGTTGAATGACAAAAGTATGTGGAAAGTCATCAGAAAAATAATGTAAACATAAGATGTGAATTTAATTTTTTTAAATTCATGAGGTACATGAACTACAACGCTTCACGCCTGCATATTTATCATGCTTCATGAAATATGCCGTCCTGAAGCGTCGTAGTTCATGTCCTCATGAATTCTCAAAAATTAAATTCATCTCTTACATGTCGCAACTACTATAATCTGTTACATCACTTAGTCGATGCAATAAAACATGTTCAAACCATCAGAGACCCCATAAAAGATATTTGAGTCATATATTCATTAGCTAGTACTTTTTTTTTACTTCTAGATCTTCCTCTTTATGGGATTTTGGATGGCGAGCTACGGAATAGCTTTCTTCGTTTCCTTAGCATTTGAAGTACCAATGATAGGACTCGAAAGGTTATTGCTGAGACGAAACAAAGATTAAGCAATTACGAAATATCACTCTAAATCATTTAGACAAACAATTTAAGCTTTATGGCGTATTTGTAAGCATTCACAATACATGTAATTTTTATGCATGTACATTTTTTAAACTCATAATCAAGATCTGAGACGTGTTTTCCAATATATATTAGTATTATTACACATTTATTAAGGTTAGATCCATTCGACATATTCCTGTAGATTATTAGTAATAAACCTATGTACATGTACCAAATACCCTTCTAATATTTGACAGAATCCAATACAAGTGTATCGATGTCTTCAGTGAATTAGAAAAAAAATTATCAGTTTATATATTACACTTAAGTTTTTACTTTTGAGGGTATTAAATGAAGTTTGTGTATTATTTATGTGATGTTACTCTGATCTCTTTGGGTTTTTTTACATCCCTTGCAAACTATATTTTAGGAGGAATGCAGAACTTGTAAAGAAGAAAAAATAAATATTCTTACACTCGTCACAAAAGGCTGCTTATTTTCTATATCAAGGCGAAGACTTGTATGTAATTTTTGGGCTAGTAAGATAACCTGAATTCAATCGGCGATGGAATTGGTACACTTTTGAACTGGTCATTCATTTGAAAAATATAGATACCTGTCATGTTACATCCAATGCAGTAAAGATGTTAGGCGGTAATGGCAATTAAGTGTCATAATAACTCGCTAATAGACCTGCTTACGGCAATCAAAGATATGATATGTATAAAACATTCCAATGTTATGTTAAATTCAAGATTGAATAATGACCCTTTGGGAGTGGGTTTGGTTTCATACTCGTCGTGGGAATAAAAATCGGAACAAAATTACTCAGGCAGGTGAGCGGTGTGGCCCAATAGATACAATGACCTTGTATTTAATTTATCATAAAGTCAAATGCTGACTGACGTTTTTCATACTTATTGTTAGGCCATTATTTACACACTGAATTGTCGACGGATTTTTCCGTTATTTCCCGATCATGACATGCTCTGCTCCAAAATTTGTATTGTTTAATGGACTTTTGAGCTTGAATACTGTTCGTTATCCCCATACATTTCACTGACAAGGTCATTGTATCGACCATAAAACTTACGAAATGATGATTTTGAACGAGATTGCTGATACTCTTGTTTCATCAACTTGTCAATAACTTGCCTCGTTTTAGAAATTGTTCATACGTAGAACATTTGTTGTAAAGTTACCATTAAGGTCTTTTTCTAGTAAAACATCCAAATATGAAACAGATATGTCACACTCTGTGGTATCTTTTATTTCAAGCTCACCAGGATATATCGTATCGACATTAGAATGGAAATAACCATTTTTAATTGACAATACGTCGTCGATATATTTAAATATCGAGTTGAAGGCCACCGCAAGTGTTTTCCTCTTTTTGCGTATAAGATTTTGAATAAATTCTGCTTCATATGAATACAAAAATAGGTTTGCTAATAACAGGGCGCAATTGGTACCCATGGGAATTCCAATAGATTGTTGGAAGACCTGATCTCCAAAAACCACATGGATATTGTCAATCAGAAACTCAAGCATCTTTTTAATATCAAATTTAGAGTACTTCTGTGTACAATTAGATTGTTTTTTTTACAAAATAATTTTGTAAAGACAAGGTAAGTATATTTACGAGTTTCATTTTTATTGAAAAAGCAGCTGTCAATGATATCAAAAAGCCTGGACTTTATTTTATCGTGGGGAATGGTTGTATGAAAAGTTGAATTCAAATTTTCCAAAAGTTCCTTGGAATTTTTAAGTATCCGCATCTGATTTACACCACTTCTCGAATATATTGTTGCACAGTACTCTTAAAGTTTCTCCTTCACTACTGAGGGGTAAAGAAAGAGGCTTAGTAGAGCATTTACTGGAACCCGTTATGTACCTGCATCTTTGTAAGGATTTTTATGAAGTTTCGAAATCCAATATAGATATGGATTTTGGTTGTTGGGAATATTAAAAATATTCAAAACTGACTTATGGAATGAAATATAGTAACGAATTTATAAAATGATAAAGAGTAAAATGCTAATTATTATCCTCATCATTTTATAAATTTACCGCTCTGAATATTAAATTAGTAAGCATGTGATTAATATGCTAACACAGTGCAGAATCGGGGCGTTCTTAGTTACTGAGGATGATATCACTTAAATCACCTAGGGCGATTAGGTAATCGTGGGCGAATTCGCCTGGATTTTCTTCCGTGTAGTCCCCGACCGCTGACCCATTTTCCTTTTCCACTTAAATTTCGCCATTTTTGGATTACAAATCAGGATGTTGTTTCTTTGTTATTTATGGATAAGTATGGCATTTGCAACTGTTTTAGGGTTCATTGTCACAACAGATAAAAGACTACAAACAAAGTTTGTTAATAATTTGTTCGTCTTTGGAAAGTTTCGCAACACAAAGGAGTACAACTTAACATCAAATTTTCTCCAAGTCCCTAAAAGGTACATGCATGACCATGATGGCAGTTAAGTTTTCTATGTTCTCTTATTATTGCTTTCATTATTTTATCTGGTACTTTACACAATCACTGACACATGGAGAGAAATCAGAAATAACAATTTAAGTCATCGAAGTTGCAATCTCACAAATATCATTGAATGATTCAATAGGAGGAGTTATGCTCCAAGGTTTGAATGAAACATCACAACATAAGAGATTGAAATTTCAAAAACACGCAATTTTATATCTATACGTGATTGTAAATCATGTATGTATACGTAATTGTCACGGGTCTCTAATTCTGATAACTTTTATCCTGTACAAGTAGCCTACAATGTATGTGGAAATTTGATTTCCATTTTGCAGATGGTTCTACCACTTTTATCTTTTTGGGCTCATTGTTCACACACCTTTTATTGCTGTGACGGTGAACTCGATCTGGGTGGCAAAAGCTTTTCCCAAACCAGTATCCCTGGTTCTGAGTTACATCAGAGGTCCAGGATTACAAGAAGGTAACGAGTTAAATCATTACTCAATGAACACGTTTTATACATGCAGTATTTCTGCATGATGTTAAATCATTCCTGATTGTTATAGTAAACTTAGTAAAGTTTGAAAATACCGTATTAATGGTTTTATGTATCGATCTAGCTTTCATGCGTGGTGGACAGGCAGGTTTGTTCAACCGTGGCAATTCTGTTGGTAGAGAACTTGTATAGATTTCAGGGGGTATGTGCTTGAATCCTCTCTCATCTGTGACATTTTCTTCATTCTTGTTACATTTATTATCTTAAATCTATCTTAAATCTATCCTGGAAAAGTCGGATAACATTTGTCAAAAGTATGAAGACATTTTAAAAGGAAGGAATCTCAGATTGGAATAAAGGCGGGTATATTTGGTGACCAGAGAGCCTGCCTGGTAAATCACCTGTCTAGAATTCTGGGGTCTGGATTTGAATCCTGGTGGAGTCATTTTCGAGCTCCCCTGCATGGATGCCTAATTTGATAAATTTTGAAACATAGAAAACTGCTATCTTAGGAAATCCCCAAAATAAATATCGAAACAAAAACTTTTTAATATCCAAAGAGAAAAAAAATATGCCAATAAATTTGAATTGTAATACGGTCTAGATAGGAGCATCGAAAGCATCAATTTCCACAATTTTTGCAGAGTTACTTCCCCCTGCTCCAATAATTGTTGTCTTGTTGATGGGAGAGGTACAGATGTTTAGATTACTATTGGAATGTGTCTTCATTAACAGTTATTCTCCTGGAACAATGAGCGTAATCATGTACCTCACTGGAATCTTCTTCTATAGTCTTCAAGGACTCAATATTGTGTCAGTCATGCAGGAGAAATCGCTCACATTCAGTTAGTATATTTTCTCATACCTACATTGTGTTCTTGATGTATTAATGTCATCCCCTATGACAACATTTGAAACTCCGGCTTATTTCTTTACTTGCGATCATTGATTTTCACAGGTGAACTATGGAGGGATCTTCACTGGTATCATTATCTCCTGATAGTTGTGTTCATCTTCAGCAGTTACAAACAGCATGTCCTCAACAACATTTTAGCTAACTTAAGATGCAATCAGAAAGGCAAATTTATTAACATATAATCTAATTAAAGTCAACTGTTTATAGCATTTTTTTCCAATTCAGAATATTTAAATCATCATATAAATTCAATCTTAGGTAAAGTAGTAACAGACAAACACCTGCTACCAGAGGGGGACCTATTCGAACACTCTACATGCCCTTACTACCTAATGGAGATCCTTATCTACAGTGTATACACGGAAATGTTCTGGTGGAGACATTCTGTGTGTAATGCAATATGGCTTTTTGTTTTTGTGAATCAAACTTTCTCATCGGTGGTATCAACAGACATTTCCTGATTATCCAAAGGAGAGAGCCCCCATTATTCCATTTCTTCATTTTGATAGATGGATCAGCTCACCGCCTCAAAAGGAACAGTGAAAGAAAAATCTAAAATAGTACTAGTATTATATTTTTTGTGCTTAAGATGAAATATTTATATTTGGTTTAAAGATGTAATTGTTACATATGGTTTGTTTAGCATGATTTAACCGTGACAGGAGCGTTTCGAAACAAAAGGGTTTTTACACAGGGGCAGCCTGGATTTTCTTGAAAGATTGTTGAACCATGTTATGAGGTAACAAGATGGATGAACATGACGAGCGAAAAGCCTATGGTGTGACAAACATGAAGGTGAAAAATTAAATCTCTATTATATTAAAATTTTCCTTGATATTTCACTTAGCATTAAAATATACTTTATGTAGAATCTCTATAATTTGCAAAAATCCCTCAAAGATTGAAATTATTTGCATATGAAATATTATACACACACTAAAGAGGGCAAAGAGTTATTTTCTCATACTATAACACTATTTTTCGATATGAGTGGGTCTTCGCTCCATTTTTTTGAAAATTAATCCTCAAAGTTTGCATGAAAATATACATTTTTTGGTTACCAAAAATATGGAGCAAAGACCCACTATACCATAAAAAT